GGCGGTGGGTTAGGTGCAGTTACTGACCTGTAACGCTTCTATTGTCTTTATTTCTTTGTGAAGTGCATCAGATCAACTTGGAATGTTAATGGAAAATGTCAAGCCACTTTCACTTTCTTTTTTGGTAGCATGTGAATTAACTTTCACTGTATTACTTGATTTTACAAATGTCAGTCACTTTTTTTCACAATAATTTTAAAGACATGAAAGGAAAAGTATTATCTAGCTAATTTATTACAAAATTCTGACTTGTCATCATTTGAGTTTAATTACAGTCAGGGTAAGTATTTTGTTTCCTGTTTGCCTTAGTTTAAGCCATAAAGCAACGGGTAAACTATGTGGTCATCAATATGGCCATTTTAGAGTTGCTTCTGTGACACATTCTGGAACTTCTGAATTTCCTAATGCTGGTGTATACAAATTCTCAGCTTTAATTGTTGTCAGTTGAATCTACTGCACAGATCTGAAAAATCATTAGTATCTTCTGTTTTCGTTTGGCAACTCAGTCCATTTTGACACCACCACAAGTCTGACTGTCCTGGGTCTCAGAGTGAAAGCATGGATTTAACTGCTACAGGCTCACAGCTCCAAGCAGCACTTTTCTTGGTGTGTGATGAAAAAGCCTCAAGCTTTCTTACCTTGTCATGCTTCTTTATCCTTCCCTCTGGTAGTCGTAATTCACCTCAATGTTGGCTCTACCATTGCAGCAGATGCCTGGATTATGGAAATCGTTACAAGGCTTTACGCATACATTTAGATACAATATTGCGAACCAGCTTGCCTTTTCCATAACTTTTCAGAGATCTCTCTCATAAACAGGAGAAAAGTCAGTTTTGAGTCGGGAAAACAATCAGTTCTTACCCACCTCAGGATTCTGACAGACTGACATTTAAAAAGGAAAAAAAAAAACCAAAACCCATGCATGACTGTCAATTTAAGGGGGCTTTAGGTAGAGGCAGGAAGTTTCTGGCTGAAAGTGTGTAAAGGGGCAAGCAGTAACCACAATTGTTCCTGTTAAGAAGCAGAGGTTTTATTTTTCCTGTATCTTGATGACCATTTGGTGGATCCTCACAAGAGTAGACTTGCTACAAGTTCAGGCTGTTTGATCTTATGAAACATCACATTTTATACCTGTCAGTGATAGTCTGACAGGTTTACTGGAGCCACACTCATCCTTGGGCAGGGCTGTTTGTGTGGAAGCTCTTCATGGCATTAGAGGATGGGGTTTTTTGTGTTAAGCTGAAGGACCACCCTTTCCTGTGAATGCAGGTATCTCTCTTTTGGGATGCAGGGTTACTTCTGTTTGGCATCCTCAATGCCAAACATAATTTTTAGATTTGTAGTTTGACTTTGCAACTCCGCTTCCAAGAGCACCCTGCCTCTGCAGATATTCCACAGATACTCTGTATCATGGAGTCGTCTTTGCGTTTCTATGGTTGTACCAGTCCATGCTTTTTCTTCACTTGCTTCAGTGGTGTTGGATGTCTCCATCCTGGGATAGAATAATAGAATACCAGGTTGGAAGGGACCTCAAGGATCATCTGGTCCAACCTTTCTTGGCAAAAGCACAGTCTAGACAAGATGGCCCAGCACCCTGTCCAGCTGAATCTTAAAAGTGTCCGATGTTGAGGATTCCACCACTTCCCTGGGGAGATTATTCCAATGGCTGATTGTTCTCGTTATGAAAAATTTTTCTCTTGATGAAAATTTTCCTATTGTGAAAAATTTTCCTCTTGAAATAGGGTTACCTATTCAGCTTTGTACTCGGAGGTAGGAACCCGTATGAAGCTCATCTGTCAAGATGGCCTGCAAAGTTTCTTGCTGTAAATTCAGGGGCAGTACATGCAAGTAATGTCTGACAGCAGCATTGTAATATTGTATGTTAATGAATAAGATAATGCCAGTTCCTCAATTCTGTGCCTTGTGCTTGCAAAACTTCATAATTAGAGTACCAGGCAGTTTCTGGAGGCTGGAGGACCTACATATGACTTGCTTTCATATTTGCACTCTGGAGTGGGATTGAGCTTGGGCTTCCTATCAGATGCCTACTGGGTGGAAGTGCTCTGCAGTGGAAGTCCGGTGGATACCCATCCTCTAGTGCCTCTCCACCTGAAGATAATGTTAGTCCCTGCCTAACTCAGAAAGTTCTAGTTTTGGATTTTCTTCAGTTTCTCAGTGGAGGATCTGAGGTCTGCTGGTTTTGTCTTTAGAGGCAGGATTCAATACAGATCCTGCATCTGGATTTAGCTACCCCAGCTTGGATGCAGAATGGCTTTTGTTAAATGAAAGACTTGGTTTCTCCACTGAGAGAGATGTTCTCATTGTCAAAAGAAAATCTATACCAGAGAGAAACTTTATTCAAGTAGACTCAGTACTATATCAGGTCCAGGATATAGAGATATTTACTTGGGCTTGAAGAATCTGGCTTTGTCCAATAATTCTGTCAAAAGTACATCTGTTGGTTATTTCTGTACCTCTTCTGAGAGCTCGTAGGTGTTCTCACCCTTCTAATTCAAACTATGAGTCTTGGTCAAAGCACTCCCCTTTCCCCAGGATACCTGACAAAAGTGGAGTTTAAACTGAGCATTTACATGTCTCGTGATTACTTGTTCTGAGCATGTGCACACTGGTCCATAGTACTCATGCCAGTGTAGGTGGCTTTTCTTATTGCTTTCCAGTAACAAGGTATCTTTGGATGTGTGCATTTCACTTCCATCTCCTACTTGCTTTCCCTTCATCCTTGCAGTGTTTAATGTCTCCCTTTGAATTACATGTTGAGAGAAACTGAGTATAGAGGGGGGTTGCATTAGCTTCTGTGGAAGGCATCAACTTGCATTCCTGCTTTCATTTAGCAGTACATGTAGCTAGTTGAACTGCTTATGGCTTACTCTCTGTCGTGGTTTAACCTCAGCCGGCAACTAAGCACCACGCAGCCGCTCGCTCACTCCCCCCCGGTGGGATGGGGGAGAGAATCGGAAGGGTAAAAGTGAGAAAACTCATGGGTTGAGATAAAGGCAGTTTAATAGGTAAAGCAAAAGCCGCGCACACAAGCAAAGCAAAACAAGGAATTCATTCACTACTTCCCATCGGCAGGCAGGTGTTCAGCCATCTCCAGGAAAGCAGGGCTCCATCACGCGTAACGGTTACTTGGGAAGACAAACGCCATCACTCCAAACGTCCCCCCCTTCCTTCTTCTTCCCCCAGCTTTATATACTGAGCATGACGTCACATGGTATGGAATATCCCTTTGGCCAGTTTCGGTCAGCTGTCCTGGCTGTGCCCCCTCCCAGCTTCTTGTGCACGTGTGTTATCAACATTGTTCTCACCCTAAATCCAAAACACAGCACTGTACCAGCTACTAGGAAGGAAATTAACTCTATCCCTGCTCTGAAACCAGCACTCTCACCCAGATTGAATAAGCACGTGGATTATATATCTCAAAAGAGTCAATTTACTTCAAATTCTTTGCTGTTCTATTAAATAGCGATTGTGGTTTTTTTGGAGCTTGGTAGAGATCAAACATTTCATGTATTGATAGCTTTCTTGCTGATAAAGGCAGCTTTGCACGTTTAAAAATTCATTGAGAGAGAACGCGTATTCTTTTGATCATAAGTGCAGATGATATCCAAAAAACTTTTCACAGATTGTACCATTATTTTAAGCTTTCCAGCTTGCATCTGTATGCAAGTCCTTAGTTGAGTATTTGCAAGAGGCAGTTGCAGTTGCACTCTACTTGGCCCTTTTCTTTAGCTCTCTGGCCCCACCAGCAGTGATCCCTTTTAAAGTAAGGGGAAAGCTAGACTGCAGGTCTGTCTTCTACCAGCTCTCTTCCAGAAGTTAGATCCCTTTCCTCTGCAGGAAAATTCTTAATGTGTCTGCAGTTGGAAGATGCAACCAAAAATGTTGACTTCATGTTCTTTACTGTCAGCCAGTTTCTGTTAAAGCTTCTAGTATACTCAAGTAAATGGTACCATGAGGATATTGTCCTAAATGTAATCTTCAAGTCGCTTGCATGTTGTTTTCTTTAACATAATTCCTCAAAATAGCTTAATTGTTCTGTGGAAAACGGCAGCTTTTGCTTTTGTCTGCCTCACAGTAGGGAGAAAGAATAGAATATGGAAGTAAGATCGTAGCAGGAATCTTATGTTATTTTCCCCAGAAACTTTTTTTTTGTTTTTGCATAAAGTGACTTAAATTCAGAGCAAACTGTTCACTAGGTGACTTCTTACAAGTGGGATCTATACGACCTGATTATAAGCTTGAAGAATCTGGAGAAAACTTGTATTAAATAATTTAGATTCACAGGGAAAATGTTTTAACATAAAATTTTGAAGCAAGGGGCTATTACGATCTACTAAATCTGGCTGTATAAATTCAGTGATTTAAGTTGAGTTGAAGAGCTGACTCTTTATGTACACAATTTCTTATAAAAGTTGTATAAAAATGAAAATAAATAAAATTAATGTTAACATGACAAGTACATTTTCAATAATTGTCTTCCAAAGATCATTAGTTATTCTAAAGTTTATTTTGTGTGCCAACATAAAACACTTTTCCTGTCCTGTCTGTAATTTGCTACCATTTATCTAGTTTTAGTCATGTTGTCGACTGTCTGCCTGTGTTGAATAAGACTAATATGGGTATTGACGTGAACCGGTACTCCAATGTTGGAAGCTCACCACTACTTACCTTGACATGACAGTGGCTTTTAAGTTGTTCCTCAACAACTACTGATAAATAAAAATATATGTACCCAACTGGATAAAGCCCTAAGCAACCTGGTTGAATTTCATAGCTGACCCTGCTTTGAGCAGGAGGTCAGGCTGGAGACCTCCTGAGATCCCTTCCAGCCTGGCTTATTCTGTGATACTTGTGTGTGTATATACACGTGAGAGTGTATAAATGTGTGTGTAATATTTATGTATAATTTATAAAGATACATTGAGTGATTTCAGATATAGCTATAGTAAATTTTCATTCTGCTGGTTTTCTTTGCCCAGTCTGCCACTAAGAAACCTCGGAAGTCTCCAGCAGACAAGGGTCGTGCTGAATCTGGAGCTAGAGGAGCAAGTCGTGGAAGAGCTAATGGCCACCCTCAGCAGAATGGCGAAGGGGACCCGGTCACTTTGTTTGAGGTGGTTAAGCTGGGGAAGAGTGCTATGCAGGTAAAATAACTAATTGTGTTACCCCTTTACAATTCAGTATATCCTGCCTGTAGAAGTTCAGTCTAAGATATGCTTTTGTAAACAATTGTATTTTTTCATAACCTCTATTGGTCCAATAGACTGTCTGTGTATGATAAAGTAAGGGACAGAATGTGCTTTGATTGAGTTGAGGACTGTCATATATACTTCTGAAAGACAAGAGACAGGTCAAAGTCATGCATTTCAAATTCTCCATTATTTTGTTCATTACTTCCAAATTGAAAATACATGTTGGTATTAAGCAGCCCATTAAAGAACATCCTGTAATAAGTTTTATATGAGGAAAAAGTATATATGATATTAGTGATGGATCCAAGGCTTTTTTTGTTTGCTTGTTTTTTTTAAAAATATCTGCCGACACAAGCACTTTTGAGTACCTTGCACTGCAGCTTGCATTCTTCTTGCTCTCCCCACCAGAGCAGCAGATGAAGGAAAAACTAGGAGCCTAGACTTCCTCTGTGTCTAAGGGACAAACATGGACACATCCTGAAGGCAAATTTTTCATTGTAAAATAAACATCTAAGATAGTTGTAGTGAATTGCCTCTGGAAGTGTTTCTTACTCCTTTATGTTTTGAGAAATTTCAGAGGTCTTACAGGGTTTATTGGGCCAGATGAGTCCCACCTCAATGTCTATAGATGATTGGTTTTGACAGTATTTGTATGCTTTTAGTAAGCTACTGTGCTTCAGCTATTGTTTTTGGCACTCAAAGGAGAAACAATGGGCCCAAAAAACTGTTCATCTGGTGCAGTGCAAAGCCAATGGTCGTTGCTACTGAAAGATTGTTTAAGCAAACCTCCTTTACTTTGCATTTCAACAAAACAGGACTCATGCAGTATCAGTTAGTTTGTTTTGGCTTTGTGGTGCTAACTAACATGAGAAAATTACAAACTAGGAAAATTAGGGGCCAAGTCCCATTTTCAATATTACTTTTACTGTAGCGAAAAGCTGTCTAATTAACTCCCAAAGGAATCTAGTCTTCCAAGTGAGTGAAAGCTGTTGAAAATTTTTCTCTCTGTCTCAAATCTGTGGAAGGTCTGAGATGTAATTTTAAAGAAGTAATAAACAGGAAGAAAATGAGAGTTTTTATTCTTCATAGTTGCTGTATTTACAGTTATTCAGGATTGACCCTTCTTTTCTAGTAGGTGAAGACAGAACAAATTTACTCCTAACAAAGCTACAGATTCCTTGTGCCTCCTCTTCCTACATTTTTTAAGTCAGGGCTTCCAACTTCGCTTGGTTTTCAACACTTCTTCAAATTTCGTTTTTGGCAGGATTTGAGGAAACATCTGGAGTCTATTTTCTGGTTTTACTGTGGTACAGAACATACAATATGCTTTATGTAGTATGTTTGTCTTAGAGTTACTGATATTTGCAGGAGCCAAATGAAAAGGAATGGGTGGTTGCTTTGATATTTGATGACTCTGCATGTGTGGAATTGACTTTGATACATTTTATTTATTTCAAAAGAGATGCCATCAGAAGTCTTCTGCAAATGAAATTCTAAAAAGAAATTGTCTACATGTTTGTATTAAGAAACCTTTGGAATTCAAATACCAAGGAATTGTTTTGAGAAACTTAGTATTTGTATATGCATATATAGATGGGTGTGTCTGTATATTTGTGTATATATACATGTGCACGCACATGCTTAAAATGTGCCCAGCCTACATATTTGAGGAAGAAGTAGACAGCACGTTTTAAGCAGTGGAGAAATGATAAGCAAATAGTAAAGGAATAAGCAAGTTTATTTGAAGGCCTGGGATGCAAACAGCCATAAATGACTTGAGCCATATTTAGGAGCACCAATCCTAATTTCAAGACTGTGTCACTTGTGCACCTTAGAAAATTTTACTATTGGTAAAAATATTTAAAAAAAAAAAAAAAAAAAAAACCCTTTAGGGGGAAAGAGGATGCAATTAAAATGTGATTTAATATTTTTTAACTTGCACTTATGGACAATAGTCCCATGTGAAAGCAAGGTTCTATAAACCAAATTTATTAGCATTTTTATACTTTTTCCTTAATGGCTTAGGGATTTTGATGTAACAACTAGGAATACCTGGCATTTTTGTTTTTCATAGTTTCAATGCAGGTTTTTTGTGGCCAATTTTAGCGATTATATATATTAGATATATATTATAATACTGACAAGTATTGCCAATTTTCAGACAAGTGCCATATATTTCTATTTGTCAGAACCTATTATTTCTCAATATTTAGTTCTTTCACTGTAATATGAACTTACATTTTTCTATAGTGCTCTTAAGTTTGCTTCCAGCAATGAAAACCCAGAAAAATTAAATTAGTATATTCTGAGGTTACATGGGAATTTTACTTCATGTGCTTTCATTTCTGGTCTATCTGGTCCTGCTGTCTGCTCTCAGGATTTTAGTTGTTAGATTTTTCTGGCTTTGTGTTGCCAACTCATGAAAGTCTGTACCTGAATTAAATTCTTACTTCTTTTAAGTTTGTCCTCTATTTTGGTTCTCGTAGCAGGATTCATTTACTTCTCTTCAGGCTTATTGCTGTTTGGTTCTTCCAGGGAAACAAAGTTAGGTTAATATTTTGTATTTCAAGTATACATAACTTCAGAGCTGTTCTTTGCATATAAATCTTTGCCTGTATTATGAAGTGCTAGTTTTGTCGGTGTTAAGTCTCATTTGAACTCTGTAAATCAATTTGATACCCACATTAACTTGGTATCGGATTGTTGCCACTGTTTTTTAATTTGCTGTGTAACCTTTTGTACAGTTAGTTGCTTCAGAAGTTTTTCTGTCGGCAGCTCTCTGTGTATGAAGTGTGATATGACCTGATGTTCGTGTTTTCTGTGGGTACATTTTGTTAGTCCATTAAGACTATTCATAGAGCTTTTTTAGGCTCTATGTTTTTTTCTTAGACAAACATGATACTCTTCTGCTTTTTGTCATTTGTCTTTTTTTTTTTCTTGAATGTTTTATCCAAACAGCTATATCCACTATATTTCCCCACTCTAAACCTCTGGAGGCAGAATGGACTATATCACCATTTCTCATGTGCTGAACTGCCTGAGTTTACACTGACGGGAATGAAGGGCGTGGGTGAACCTCCACTCTTCCAGCTGAGCCCCCGGTACAGAGGCTGACTTGTAGCTTAAATCTTAATAGGCACTTCTGCATTGGTCTCTGACCCTGGCATTAAGCTGACAGTGGAGTAAAGAACGTCTGATGATCTCCCATTTTGTTTAGGCCTCAGTCTGAAAATTTCTCAGTAAATTATGACCAATTAGCTGTAATGAAGTTTGTACTTCTGTGTTGGTCAAACCAAGCACAGAAGCGTTCTGCTTTCTTGTGTACAAAGGGGATTTGTGCCTCCCCCAGAACATCAGAGAGAATCATCAGTAGTTGTAAGAGGTGTTCAATACCAAAACATGAACAGATCTATGCCTTGATTACCCTGTAATGTTATATGCGTTACCAGCTACCCTTAATTGATGTTAGCAGTTCACTACAGATTAGATGCTGATTTTGAAAAACATATTTGACCCCTTTGCTTATGCTCATAAAAGTAATCTTGGTGTTGATTAGACATGGTTCAGAGTAAATATGGCTCTGTTATATGCCAACAAGCATTTTAGGATGTGTATCCAAAGAGAGCTTTCTAGTGTGTTGAAATGGAATTTTTCATTGTGCCACCAGTTCTTTGTCTCTCCAGAAATCAAGAATGTATGGGGTTCCTCACTGTTCTTGTCTGCACACCTTGGCACTCGTGGATTTGAGTCTTTTGAGGTTCCCTCCATGTTTGAGTAAATATGTATTTGTAGCACTGCCTACCCTGTCATGAGAAGAAATTTTCTTTGTTTCTTATATTTCAGTTCCTCAGATTTTTGTCATCTTTGCACCTACTGGGCTCATGTTGGCAAGCTGTGACTCTTGTTCACAGTTCTACACTGGCTAGAAAGTTTGTGTATCAGAGCAGGAACATCATGAGACCTTTTTTCCCTTCAGTTGTCTATCTGAAAAGATTAAAAATCTTTCATTAATATTAATTTAAAATACTTCTGAAATGTTAGTATTTTCAATAGTATTTTCAATATTATACTGATTTTCAGTGTTTATCCACCTGTCTCTTGCAGACTGACGTTAAAAATTAGTACATGCAAAAATAAAGGGTATGTGTCCCTTGTAATTACACGTTTGAGCTGTTGGAAATAATATGGAAGTGGTAAAGGAAACACTCTGACCACTTTCAGCAGTGCTCTTTTTTTGTTCTTTATGCATTAGCATCTTACTGGCATGGTTGCCAGTTCCTTTTATCATAATGTATCAGGTTTGGATGACACATAGTCATCAACATCTGTATCTGAAATTATTTTCTGATTGAAATTCCTAGTACCTCCAGTATCTTTTTCTATCACTTTGAGATTTGATGAATCTGTACAAGAAATGCAGGATAGTCGGTTCTTCCAAAGATCTGATATGTCTTTATGCATCTTGTTAATATGGCATATCCTACATAATTTCAGTAATTTTTGTATTTTCGTAGCATTTAGGGCAGAAATAGACCATTATGGTCTGTATACTACCTCCCTGCATAGCTCAGACCATGGAATTGCACCCATTCCTGTATTAAGCCAACAGCTTCTTTTACAACCCTCATTTTTCTATAATAATAGTAATATTAGTTTCAGTTAATTAGAAGTTAGGGTGGGCCAACCTTAGCAACTGTAGAGGTAGAGCCAAAGTTTTGAACATCATTGTTCCCACTCAGGTCTTGCTGCAGTAGCTGCTCCCCTATCCTGGCGGCCACAGGTACTTTGGCCATTGCAGCAGGGAGCTGGGCTGGTGAATGTGGAGCAGGAGGTGGCACTGGCCTTGGAGAAGGCATCTGGTGCTGCCCCAGAGAGCGAGGCTGCTCCTTGGGGTGGCTTTTCCCAGGGAAGGAAGTTGATAGTAGAGCAAGCCCCAGTGACTGCACAGCTTT